CCCTTCAAACTCGAGATTCGTAGTCATCGCGTGTTTGGTGACTTTACGGTGTCAATAATATCATGATCGATCGATATCATACTGTTATATTATATCGTATGCGTTCGTGTAATGTGAACAACGGACGAGCACTTATTATTAATTGTCGATGATACGACGTGAGTTACGAGAGATCGGTGAATAATCAAGATACCTAATAACAATCGATGATAATAATAATAATAACTACGGGGGAAAAAATGATTTGAAGTGTGATCTCTCCGTGCGACAATTCCGTCGATAAACATTTCTGACGGGATAATTGATTTTATTTCTTTCTTTCAATGAAAGACAGTAGAAGACAATGAAAAAAAAAAAAAAGATTGTTTAGGGAATGCCTTTACATATCGTTATACTCAAAATACAAGATCGAACGTCTTTACGTTTATGTCTCTTAACGTTCTTCTCTTCCTATCGATGCCTAATGCTATACCGTTAGTTCCTTTTAATAGCTAATTTATTGCCGAGCTTGTGTGTGCGATCTCGTCGAGCACGTCCCACTTGCATTTTGAACGATCTCTTTAACCTTCCCTTTTCCCGTCTGCTTTCCTTCATCCCTTTCTCTATCTTTCCCTCTCTCTCTTTCTCTCTCTCTTTTTCTGTAACGCGAGAAAATGCTAGGAATCTTTTTAAATCTGAAATCGCATTGAAAAGGATGATCGTAGCAATACTTTTATCGTGAGTATTCGAAAATAAGAAGAAGAAGAAGAAGAAGAAGAAGAAGTAAATATCAATTTATTCGTTGGTACAATTACAAACTACGTATTTATTTATTATAACATACACACACACGTGTATACTATGATCTCAATATATATATATATAACTACCCACGATTAGAGGGGAGACGCTGACGCTCGCATAGTCATAGAATACGCCTACGTTTGTACAAAATCTATGTATACATACGTATACTATACTTACATATACATATACACCTATATACATAGCAAGTAAAGTATATATACATATATATGTATATACATACCGACATATTCTGCGGGTTTCGTGCGTATACGCACGAACTAGCATTGGTCGAACTTCAATGTTTCCTGTGGTATTATATAGTATATATATATATATATATATATA